ACAAGTGTGAAAAACAAGAATCCTTACAAAATACAGTAAATTACACTAGTATTAAGTCATATAATACAGTAAACTAATCTGCCTCCATGCACTTAAGTGAGAATCAGGGTCACAATTAATGATTATTTTATCATTAATTAGTAGGACAAAGGTGGCACGGTGGAGTAGTGGTTAGCACTGTCGCCTAACAGCAAGAGGGTTCCTGGTTCAATCCCAGTAGGGGAGTTTGCATGTTCTCCCCGTGTCAGCGTGGGTTTTCTCCGGGTACTCCGGCTTCCTCCCACAGTCCAAAGACATGCAGGTTGGGGATTTTAATTGGTGACAATTGGTGACTCTAAATTGTCCGTAGGCGTGAATGGTTGTGTGTCTCTATGTGTCAGCCCTGTCTGGCGACCTGTCCAGGGTGTACTCCGCCTCTCGCCTAATGTCAGCTGGGACAGGCTCCAGCCCCCCGCGACCCTCAAGAGGATAAGCGGTTACGAAAATGGATGGATGGATGGATAGTCTGACAAAGTAGGTTACCAGCCGGGCAAATTGGAGAACTGCCTTTGGGCCCCACAGCACCAACTTCCTCATGTTTACTGTGACACATCTGTGTGCTTTTTATCAATCTAGACTGTTTCAGTGTGAGTTGCCGAGTATTGGAGATACCAGCCGTAGAGATGTCTGCCTTCTCTCCAATATACTGGAAGAGGATGGCACTCAGCTCAGAAAATACATTTGAAAAATTCAACAGCAATGTCTCTTTCCAGAAAGCATTCCCCCGTTACTCAAGATAATCCACAGACCTTGTTGTGAGACGTTTTATGTGGGAACTATTTTCTCTCTATCAAAATACACCTGCAAGCTGTATCATTGAGCAGAAGGATGTGTGCATCTCCTCACTAGCGAGAAGCTCGTGGACATGACAGTATGGGGTGTAACATTGATGGCTTCCTCCTCAGCTGAGCTTTATCATTAGCTAGCTCAGTGGTATAAAGTGAGCTTGCAAAAGATACACGCTCCCTTCTGTGCAGTGATATGGTTGACAGGTTTAGTTTGGTAGAAAGAAATAGTCCCTACATGAAACCCCTCACAACAAGATCTGTGGATTATCTTGAGTTACCGAATCAGGATTTCTGGAAAGGCACGTGAATTTTTTAAATGTATTTTTGGCGCTTTGAGAACCACAAGCAGAGTGTCATCTAGTTCCATTACATTGGAGAGAAGGCAGACATCTCTTTGGGGTGAACTGTCCCTTTTGGCTAACATATCAGTGCTGATGTTAATCATTATGAGGTCACGTGTGTATTTTTATAGGGCTGCATTAATGGTTATCTAACAACTATTTTTACACTTTTTAAATTGATTCGTCATTTCATAAAATGCCACAGCAAAAATGCTTGTCCAAGGTTCCCAGAGCCCAAGGTGATACCTTTACATGCAGTGCTCTGTCTGATTAACAGTCCATAACCCAAATATATTGCATTTTCAATGACATGAAACAGACCACAGTCACATATCCTTACATTTGAGAAGCTGGAAACCAAAACCTGTGAAGCACTTTTGCTTGATAAATGACTTAAACTATTAATTAAAATTCCATGTTATTAACATTCCAAGAGGATCAACGCTTTATATGGAAATGAACAGACACATGTGATTAATCTGTTAGACTCAGCTATCAGGTTATTCGCTTTCTCTTTCTTAAAAGGGCCATGTTGCTGCCAAAGTCTAAAGTGTGAGAAAAGAGGCCTATAAACACCAGAAACCGGTCAGTCCAGTATTCACAGAGGGAAGGACTGAGCTGCAGTGAGACTGAAACCAAAGTCCGCCCTGTGACGTAGCAGCTTCTATGGGAAGAGCTTTCATATGATTAATCCAGATATTTCCACTCTGATCTGGACTTACCTCTCCTGGAGCAAATGTGTGTGCATTTGGACTCATGGTGCTCAACTCGTGGGACTTCCCGCACATGTTTGGGAGGGGAGTCGGCTTCTCTGGGGTAGTATGGAGGTCGAGAGGAAGACCTGGAGCACAGAAACACACGCATAATGACACTGAGGAAGTTCTCCTCTACTTATTTTTCTAGCTTGGTCTAGCATATTTAAGACTGATATAGAAAATGTGGACACTTTGCACCACTGTAGCACTGAACCTCTCCATGTTTTTGTTTTACTGTGAGAACAGTATGACAGGAAAAAAAAGTTTTAATTCAGCAATATTTTTTACTTTGCTGATTTCAAATTTGTTTTGCAACATTGTAAGTTACATGTATAGTAAGAAAGATATTGAAGCTTGACATATCCTTTTTGTTAGTCAGATCGATACAGTGGTAAGATAGACAGATAGACAATCCCTAATTGGATTGTTACAGTAGCCAATATGCATAAAACCCCCAGAAACAAATGTGACATTCAAGGAGGAAGATGATAAACAAAAAACAATCAAAGGCCATAAATAAATAAGATACAGTGAACTACAGTTATGTGGCACCTGAGAACATTGGCTTAACTTATGATATACTGTACAATGTGCCCTAAAATAATAGGCCAATATGTCTAATAATAATAATAACAATAACAATGCACTCTACAATAGTGGTGTTGGACTGAACTTTATTCAACTAACTCCTTATGAATGACTCCTGGCCTAATGTAAATAGTCAATAGTCTTTTTTTTTTTTTTAATTCTGGCGAGGTTTCTTTGTAGTTTTTGGATACTTTTATTTAATTTCAAACCTTTTAAAATAACTACAATGTGACAAAAATGAAAAAGATGATTACAAATACAGAGTTTAAAACTAAGCACTGACATCCATTCACATATGAACTCAGGACAGGTCAGATAAGATATAATATTAGAAGGGAAACAGTGGGATTTCTGATCTTTACTGACAGCACATTAAACACACCTGTCGCCTGATGACTGTCTGTCATCGTGGGAGTCCCGGTAGTGTCGGTGGTCTCCGTTTCTCTCCCGGTGTCCCCGGTTTGAACGGGGCGGCTGGCTCATACCTGCTGATCGAAACCGATACAGAATTGACCTTTGAACAATACAGAAACTGTACGCGCTACTATATAAGAAACACGTAACGTGGAAAAAATGTGTTTGTGCTAATATTACCGTGGTTTCTTTAAAGTGAATTTCAATAGACTTGACGGAAGCCGAAGTGAGGACATAAACATCATCATTAAAGAGTATTTGTGATGAAAAACAAACCAGAAACACTCTTTCCTTTGAAATTAAGCTTTATAAACTTCACGTCGAGAAACAGCGGAGAAGGTTTGTGGTGTCAAAAGTGGTCAAAAAAGGAAAACATGGCTCTGCAGCCTTTATGGTGTGTTAGCTCGTTAAATTAACGTTAGCTTAAAAACACTTGTCTCGCTAATGAAGTGTTAATTAAAATCCCAGACATCAAAGACTTACTGTGAATATGTGTCGTTGAAAGCACTCCAAAGTCCGACTATAACGCCATTTTTCTATCTCTTTCCTGTCCAGGTACAAACAGCTCCACCCTACCTGGAGGAGGAGGAGGAAGAGGAGGGGGAAGAGGAGGAGGAAGGGACGCTACAGGTTCAGGTAGGTGAATGTGTCTTCTGCTCACAGCTGGAGCTTCACAACTGAAGGCTTTTTGGATGGTGTTCAACTCATTACCAGCTCCTCTGAATCAGCCGCTTTGTGTTGCCAGTCCCTATCAGTGCAGCCAAAGAAGCCTCTGTTTATACTCTGTTTTAGGGGGTGTTGGCCTTTTAACATGAGCAGAAGCCTCTGTCTGTCTGTCTGTCTGTGTGTTGTGGAGGAATGTTGTTGTTTGTGTGCTTCTTTTTTTCAGTCAAGAGATTTACATGCAGCTCCCTGAAGAGCCCTGTTGTGTCCACTCAACTGTATTCACATCTTTCTGCTTGGAATGACACATTCCCAAGTTACTGTACAATGTGTAGGCTGCTGGCACTGTTTATGGCTCATGCATTCATATAAGTCACTGACTTGTTGAAAACCAACTATGGACTATATATGGACAACTATAACGACTAAGCAATTAGGGATCCATTAGTAGTTCAAGTCATTATTCAAGCAAATATTACAAACATTTGCTAGTTGAAGCTTCTCCAATGTAAGGATTTGATATTTTTCTCTGCCATAAGCAAGGTCAGTAACCCTTATTGATATCTAAAGGGGACATTTGTTTGTGTGTGGCAGCATAAGGACAAAAATAAGTAGATAAACATAGAAAGTAAAAAATAAACAGTAAAAGATAGGCATATATACTGTAAAACTAAAAAGAGAAAAACATAGAAACTATCTCACAAGATTAATTGGCTATCAATGGATGGATTATCAAACAGGTCTACAGGGCACATGCAGGCCCAGGGACCCATGTGTTCACTGGGCCCCTAATCCGGTGACTCCACTGGAAGTTGTTAGCCTACTTCTTTTGTTGAGACAACACAGGACTCAGTCAAAAGTATGATCCAAATCCTTTCATTTTTAATTCAGATTTTCTACATTAAAATTACATATTTTATATTTCTATATTATATATTTTAATACAAATTAACCTGCTGGATGTTTGTGCATGATATTTTGTGTTATAACTGTGAAGAGGGCATGTCAGTGTTGGTCCACTTTAACAGAATAATCTGCGATATTAAAATAAAGTTTGGATGATTGGCTGTTTGATAAAAAGAGGGGAAAACAGGGAAAAGGAGGGGAGAGACCAGCTCCTGGTCCAATTCTACATCCAGACCTACTTAATTATTGGTTAATTATTATCTTTTATACTACTACTACTACTGCTACTACTAAATCATTCTATATAAGACCTTTGAAAATGTTTCTATGATTATTTTTGTATGTTGACTCTGTACCTTTATGTTTACCTTTGATGTATTGTACTGAATATGTATTGTATGAAGTTGTGAATATAATAGAAGGAACTACACAACAGTCTGATGAATATCCACTAGGTGGCAGCAGTCAAAACCTGACGCTGTTGCTGCAGTAAAATACTTCCGGGTTACAGCTTAGTAAACAATAACATGAGGTCAAAGCTAGTGTAGTGTAACTTCTGCTGACACACTGGTCGTCCTCTCTGTGTCTGGGCTTATTCAGGGACATATTTACCGTCTGTGCTCCTGTCCGGCCATGCTGTTCCTCCGGACAGCGGCTCTCAGCTGCAGAGGTCTGACCGCTCTGCGCTGCCTGCCCACCGTCTACACCACCTCCAGAAGCACCGCTACATACATCCAGGGCCAGAGCCCGGAGCCACGTATCCGAGAATACTTCTACTATATTGACCACCAAGGACAGGTGAGCGTGTGAAGTGACACAAAACAAAATCTTAAAAAAAATATATCTATGCTATAGATTCTCCCGCCAGCATGACATATTGTTGTGTGCTCCACTTACAGCTTTTCCTCGATGACACTAAAGTGAAGAACTTTGTCACCTGCTTCAAAGGTAAAAGTGAACACCCACACACCCACAACACAGATAGAGCTCATAAGTCAGCCAAAATCCATCCCTACTTAGATCGTGTGACTATTCCCAATTACCTCCACCTGACTATAACTCAAGTATAAAACAGCCTAAAGGAACAGTCTGACAGGTTTGGGAATATGCATGTTTACCATGTTAAACAAGTTGGCGCTCGAACCGAGCAAGTTACTTTGAGAACAGCAGAGCTGAATCTGTACAGGGGACACTGTCACATTTTAACAGTTTACTATATATAAAAAACATAGAACTGCAGGATTAACTTCTATCAACCACCTGTTCTTCCACATCTCTGCTCACTGTGTACAGTAACCCTAACCTGGAATATCATATAGCATCAGGTTTGCAGTGTGGTAATTTAATAAAACTTAAATATATTTAGGATATGCACCATGTAATCGGTCACAGCATCTGCTAAAATAGTTTAGGTTTTAAAACTGGATGTGACACTCTCTCTTAAGATAAGGCTGTTCTTGTCAACAAATTCAATGAAAAGACTAAAACCAAGTATGTGTTAGTCTGTCTCTCAATACTTTTTTATTTCTCTGTCCTGTCTGGCTGTCAGCTGCAGGCCCATTGGTTCCTTTTGAAGATCTAAATTCATACATATTTAGTTTTATATCAAGAAGAGGCTCAATGATTTCCCTGAAACAGCTGCCCATTGTTAGTAGATAAATCATTGTTTAATGAACTTTGTTGGCATTAAGAAAAACAGAATATTTTTAAGACAGGGTCTCAAGATCAGATAATGAAGTAGGACCCAGATCCCTCCTGATGTCAGGGAATATTGTGCTTTAGTGGCACGTATTTTCCTACAAAATTACAAGTAATCAAATTTGTTCTAAGAAAGGCTGAACATGTGACTGTGGGTTGAAGTGTGAAACCACTGCCAATGCCCTTAATATAATTCTGATCTGACTAATTATTAGCATTAGAGCAAAGCTCATATTTTCCATTGTATGGTCTTTGTCTTGCTGTATTGCTCAGAATCTCTTCATCATCCCTGTTTCTTTACTGCTAGATAAACCGTTCCTGGTCTTTTTCTTCAGTCGGCTGCGCACAAATCAGAGCGGTCGTTATGAGAAGGACTTCCCCTACATATCCTTATGTGGCAGGGAGAGGAACTTCCTGCGCTGCGATGACCGTCCTGTGGTCTTCACCCATTTGCTGCAGAGTCCTGAAGGGTCACCAGAAATCAAGGGAAATCAGGAGCTGCTATCGTACTGCGGCGGGGCGGAGAAGCTGTCCGCCCCGTTCCGCCCTGAGGCACTGTACATGCATCCTGTCACAGGACGAGTTTACCACCCCTGCTCAGAGCGCGGAGGAGGGGTCGGTCTGGTCAGGTCAGCCCTGGCCATTGAGCTCAGCCCATTCTTTGTTTATGCTTCGGAGCATGGCCAATCAGGACAGCCTACACACTTTCTCTGGGGAGGACAGAAGCACTTGCTGACCAATGAGCTGGCAGGCTGCTTTCCCACTGAGGAGGAGGGCAGCGGGGAACAGGGAGAACTGGGATAATGACCAGAACAGGTTTAAAGGTGTACCTTAGATTTTGAAATGCTGCCCACATACGCCATCCGTGTCCCATACTGGCAGTGTGAAATGAGACTGCACTCTCACTATTGTGATTGTTACTGTTTGAGGCAAGAGCCGATGTGTCCTCCTAACCTCATTTACATGATGTGTGAGAAGCGATATTCACTGATGATGCAGAGTGTTTTTGGCTCAAGACCCCACAAACAAAGCATTGTCTCCCTTCATTAGAGGTTGCAGTTTAAACTTATTTTCCCTTTAGTTTCTTTGGATTAATTTGAATGATATTCATGGTCCTGAACAGGTTTAATTATCCAGTATGTCACACAGAAAGATAAGAGAAAAGTCTCTTAAGATTAACATACTGTAGCGGGGTGTAATAGAATTTTATCTTTTTTATTTGCTTTCCTGTAAATCATCTCAATGATGACTGTATTTATCATCCTGCCCCCCAGGTTGGAGAGGCTGAAGCTACAGTGTGCTTGAAGCTCAGACTTGGTGGCACTGTGTCTGCATGTGTAAACTGCATGTGTAAAGAGGACATTCAGTCTCAGGTGAAACCTTAATCGAAGGTCCAGTGTGTAGGATTTAGGGGGATACATCAGCAGAAATGGGATATAATGTTCATAACTATGTGTTCATTAGTGTATAATCACCTGTAACTAAGAATTGTTTTCTTCTCGTTACCTTAGAATGAGCCATTTATATCTACAAACGAAGTGGGTCCTCGTCATGGTTGTAGAAAGAGAACTGGATACAGCTTTGGAGGTGTGGCCCCATTTATTTTTTATGAAAGTTGCTCAGTGACGTATGAAGCTAAAAAAGTTCAACTTCTGTGTGTAAAATTAGCCTGATTGTCCAAACTTCTCTTAAACCCTCTGGTAACTTGAATGGGAATAAATTGATTTGATTGTGCAGCTTGTCTACACTTTCAAAATGTCATCAGACTGCGGGGATCAAATCCCAAGAGTTAAACGAGTCATTTCATGGGAGTTCTGACAATAATCACGTGATGGACCAGGAAGTTGGAGTTACTTGGTTTGGACACTACGTCACATTGACTTCAAAGTCGGGCGCACTCTCTGGAGGCCTGGTCCCCATGTTGTTTCTACAGTAACCCAGAAAGGTAAACAAAACACCAGCTCTAAATAGGGATATTCGCATTTTGCGTTGGCCACTACAGTCCACCTACACATGGCTCATGGGAGAAATTTCAGTTGGTTGCACTTTGCAACCTCACCACTAGATGTCACTAACTCGCACACACTAGACCTTTAATCCAAAGTAAAAAGTAGGTAATGAAAGCAAAGCTGATTTGAAAAAGAGAGCAGTTACTTGGCACATTGACTACAGATAGTTATATGTCAAACAACAACTGAATAAAGTATATTCTGTTGCAGATGTCTGCAACAGAAAGTACAAATTTGAATTGAATAGTATTCAGAGTTTTTATTATAGCCTATGGTAGAAAGAAAATACTATTAATTTGTATGTGAATAACACCAGGATCATTTTCAGTGGCAAAGCAACTTCATGAGAAGCACTTTAGAATAAACTACTGAATGTTCACAGTCAGATCCTTCTTTAATAAAGTGATTTACTCTGAATATCTTGTTTGCTTTTTTTATACTGTAATATTCCTGATATGAAAAAAAATGTTTTAGCTGAAATTGTCACTGAAGATTTTTATACCAATTCCCTGAAGGTAACAAAGTACATTTACTCAAGTATGGCACTTTGTAATTTTAATACATTTATATTAATTCCATTTTGTGCTGTTTTGCACTTTAACACTACAACATGATGGAGTCACTTTGCAGATGAGTTCCAACTTTAAAATGCATCTATCTACAATTCAGCACTATCTGTGTGGAGTGCTTTTGCTTTTGATACTTTATACTTGTGTACATTTTTTTCCAAGCTGTTTGTACATTTTGACTGCAGGATTTATATTCTTAACATTGTACTCAGTGAAAGTTTTGAATCCTCTCTCCATTCTGTCAGAACATTACAAGCCAACATGAACAACCGTACCTGGAAAAGGTATTTATCATAAAGTTAATCTAAATTATAAATCTAAATTGAGTCACACCAATCTGTTCTGTAAAGGCACACGACCTAAACGGGATTCTTTTTTGTTTGTTTTGCTTCCTTTGAACACGTGATGGTCATAAAACGCTCAGTCAAAAAAGACATTGAATTATAAACAGCAAACCATCTAAAACTGGAACTGTAGCATAGGTTTCCATCAAACCTCTCCCTGCCTTCAGGATAACTACCTCTGTGCTCTGTTCCTGCCTCAGCAAGTGAAGTAGTCAGTGGGGCTTTGGAGAACTCCATGTCCCAGAGATCCCAGCATTAGTGACCCGGGAACCAGGACTTGAATAACATGGCAGCGCCGTCCAGCAACACATGCGGGGTTATGGAGCAGTCTATCCGGGAGCGGGTTCCCCCGCTGCTCACGGACCTGTACCAGTTCACCATGGCGTACGCGTACTGGCGGGCCGGGCGGCACCAGGAGCCCGCCGTGTTCGAGCTCTTCTTCAGGGACAATCCGTTCGGCGGCGGCTTCTCGCTGTTCGCCGGGCTGCACGACTGTCTGCTGTTCATGCGCAGCTTTCGTTTCACAGACGAAGGTGAGCAAGTCAATCTTGACTTTACTACCTAAGTATTACGATTTAAAAAACAGCAATTTAAGCTGTCAAAGCTAACAAAGTGACAGAGTTATTCCCCCCATCAGATAAGCAAGTCATTGGTTTCCTGCAAACTTATTTTACGCAAACCGCTGTGGTTGCGCAATACTCCGCTGTGCGACCCCGAGGGTGTCAGTGATAGCCTAGTTGGTGAATGCCGGTGGAGTGTTTCACTGAACTTTGACGTTTAGCTCTGAACTTCAGCACACAACCTGTAATCTCTTCGTGCTGAAAGGATCAGCGCATGAAGCAACACACTGCATACCAAGAAAGTTTACTGAAACACTGCTTGTTCTCTTGTTACTGCAGGATATTATTTGCTTTTGGCTCAAGCTTATCCAGATGCAATCTAAAGCCAGAAGGGGTGTAAAGTCATTGAAACTAGTTCCACATAAATTAACTCAACTCAACTCAACTTTATTTATTTATAAAGCGCTTTAAAACAACCACAGCTGAAACAAAGTGTTCTACATAGGTCATAAAAACAACAAAACAGCGAGATAATAAAAAAGCAGTTAAAACAAAAAACAATAAGTTTAAGTTTATTTACTTTATTAATCCCCCTGAGGAGAAATTCAATGTTTTCATTCTTGCTTGTCAATTACACACAGGTCCGAAAGACACACACAAAAACAGCAACAAATAAATACAAACAGAACGAGGTCTCATGCTGGGTTAAAAGCCAGTGAGTAAAAGTGGGTTTTAAGGTTGGTTTTAAAAACAGACAGTGAGGAGGCCTGTCTGATGTGCAAGGGTAGATTATTCCACATTTTTGGAGCAACAACGGAGAATGCACGGTCTCCTCTAAGCGTTAGCTTGGACCCCGGTGCCTCAAGGAGCAGCTGATCAGCTGACCTGAGGCAGAGAGGCAGGGCGGGGCGAGGCCATTTAAAGATTTAAAAACAAATAAAAGGATTTTAAAATGAACTCTAAAGTGCACAGGCAGCCAGTGGAGGGAGGCCAGGATGGGTGTAATGTGCTCTCTCATTTGTACTCCAGTTAGCAGACGAACGGCAGCGTTCTGGACTAACTGGAGACGTGCAAGGGAGGACTGGCTAACTCCAAAATAAAGTGCATTGCAGTAATCCAGCCAAGACATGATGAAGGCATGGATTACTGTTTTAAAGTGCTGATGTGCAAGAAGGCTTTACCTTTGCAAGCTGCCTGAGGTGAAAGAAACTCGACTTTACTACTGCACTAATTTGGCAGTCCAATTTAAAATCACTGTCCATCTTAAAACCCAAGTTAGTAACAGTAGACTTCGCATAAACTGCCAAAGGACCCAGATCAACAGGGGAGCAAACACAGGAGCCGCTGGGGCCAAACACCATCACCTGTTTTTTTTCCATTAAAATGTAAAAAGTTTTAAAATGCTACTTACACACTGATGCGTCAGTATTCAGTGGTAGAATGTAACCAAGCACATTTACTCAACTACTGTACTAACCGGTAAGTACATACGTTTATGCTACTTTATACTTCTAGACCAGGGGTGTCAAACTCATTTTAGTTCAGGGGCCACTTACAGCCCAATTTGATCTCAAGTGGGCCAGACCACGCAAATCACCACGTAATAACCTATAAGTATCAACCCCTTCAGATTTATCTTTCATTTTGAAAATGTTAATCCATTAACCAAACAAAAAAATATAATTATAATTATGTGCTGTATTCTGGTCAGAGTAGCAAAGTTTCTAAGGCAGTATTTCACATGAAGTCTGCTCACTGTCTAAATTGCTTCTGAAACCCCTCAGCCTTCACATGTGCATCAACATGGCAGCAAAGTCATCTGGAGGGCCAGCTTGTTCCCTTTGGCAGGCTGGTTCTGGCCCCAGTCCATATGTTGACACCCCTGTTCTTGACAGATTAGACAGTCTACTTCTAGACTTCTAGATTTATAATTTAAAAATATAGATTTGAATGTGTACGTGGTTGTGAGACTGATGTGATGAGCTTATGTGTCTGTGTGTGTTGGTGCATGTGTACACATTTATATGCTGCCAACCAGACTGCTCCAACAAAGTTTCGTTGTATAACACAATAACAAAAAGTATCTGTCTGTCTGTCTGTCCGTCTATCTATATATGTGTCTATCTTCTACTCCATTATATCTCAGAAGGAACTATTGTACTTTTTACTCCACTGCATTTACTTGACACTTACAGTTACTACTAGTTACTTTTTGAATTAAAAAAAATGATATGCTTATATGATATGATGCAGTACTACACAATTAATCCACCCAGAAGTACACACAGAAGTATCTAACACTGTACATAACTTCTGATACTTTAAAGTACATTCTGCTGATACTACTTTTGCAGTTTCACCTAAGTAACATTTTGAATTCAGGACTTTTACTTGTAATAGAGTATTTTTAGACTGTGATATTTATATGCTTACTTCTTCTGCAAAATTATTACTTTTGTTGCGATACTTTAAGTGCTTTTACTTAATTATGTTTTTGAACTTACACTTGTAATGGAGTATTTTTACATAACTGTATTGCTACTTTTCTTTAATATTTCTGGTGGCGTGTAGTAAAAAGTAAAATACTCAGGTAAATGAAAGTACCTAAATTGTACTTGTCTTAAAGTAATACAAGGTCAGGCCACACTTGTAATAACCACACTTACCCACGTTCAGTCTAAACTTCCTCTAAGTCACACCACTGAAGTCTGCTGGTAGCTGCAGGATTAGATTATCTTTACAGTAAGTTATTAGATTTAGCTCTATTATTGTAATTGTGTGTGTGTGTGTGTGTGTGTGTGTGTGTGTGTGTGGTGGTAAGAACATGTGAGGGCACATGGAGGGCACACATACTTGTATAAGAGCACATGTGTCGTAGGATGAAGTATGCCCTGTGTTGTAACTGACAGAGTTCCAGCTGTTGTGGTAACGTTGTGCTTTCTGGATCCAGATGTGGAGTTCCTGCGCTCTGTCCTGCCCCCAACCACCGACCCCGCCTTCTTCCAGTTCCTTCGAGGCCTGGACTGCTCCGGTGTCACGCTCCGCTCTGTCCCAGAGGGCACTGTGGTGTTTGCCAGGGTGAGCTGCAGGGTGGAAATGAAGGTCAAAGGTCAAACGTAGGGGTCAGAGGGAGTAACTTGTGATACATGTCTAACACATCTGCAGGTGCCTCTGATGGAGGTGGCAGGTCCGCTGGCTGTGGTTCAACTGCTGGAGACCAGTTTACTGTGTCTGGTCAACTATGCCAGGTAAGAACCAAAACAAAATCAAACACACTGTGGGGGTGGAAAAGGTCACAGAGGACAAGATGCACATATACACTCATGTCATTATTGAAGTCCCACATATGTGTACTGTGTGCATGTGTGTGTAATTATACAATTCAGCCATGCAGATGCACATGCTGCTCATGAGTTACTAGCAGCAAATAGGCGACTGCAAGTGCATGTGTGACTGAAACCGGCCAGCAATCTCATCAGACATTACTGTCTTTCAGAGGCCGTGGCATGCTCATTTTTTAAGCAAGCATGAAGGTAGTGGTTATTATGTGAAACAAGCCATACATCCTCTGAATGCACAGGCTCTCTAGTTTGTGGTTGTCAAGTTTTATAAAGCTGTGATTATCGTAGACATCACAGTTATTATACAGTCAGGTCAAGTAAAAAAAACTGGTCTCACTACAATGAAATAGCTTCTATTGGGGCTAACATCATCACACATCAATACAACTGGGCCCACTGAATCCACAAGAGTCTCAGCTTCCCAGTCATACCCAATTTAATCAACCCCAAGACTGTTTAAAGAATCCCACTATGCAGAGATATTCAAATACACCATTTTGTAATAGGTGAAAATAACACATTTATACTGCATGATTCATGGTTTTTGCCAAAAAAAAAGTGGGCGTGTCTTTAAAGGGGAGTCTGTACAGGGATCGTACAGTT